TTGAGGTTGCTGATAGGCACCAACCTGGGCTCCAGGAGCCGCTGCAGCAACTCCAATTCCAACATTACCACCCATAGCAGGGCCCATATGATGAGGACTGGCAATTGCAGAAGGCTGTGGAGGAGGATGGTACAAGCCTGGGAACTGCATATGAGAAGATTGTGCTACAGCAGCTGCTGCACTGAAAGATGCGTGGCCGGTGTGAGATGGCAAATATGCAGCATGAGGTGTTTGTGTCGGCATGTTGTAGTATGAAGCTGATTGCAAACTAGGAAGATCCCTCGGATTCATCCATATTTCTGATGTCTCAGCCTGTCAGTGGAATATAGAGAATGGTAATCAATTTTCTATACAATGTATTCAACAAAAACAATGTATAAATGGTTCACAACTTATATAGGCTAACTAAGAAGTGCAAAAGAAAGGGCAATAAACATGCAATCACCTCTCATGCACTTTTATGGCATACAATTAGCACTAAATCTAAAAATAAGTACTTTTTTAGGCACGACCACTTAATCAAAACAAACAGAAACTAACTTCCAATGTGAAATCATATCAGGAAAAGAGAGGCAATAATCCAACACAAAGATCTAGGGTATAATGCAGGTTCTACATTGCTGGAAATCAATTCTAGAGTTCAACAAAAGCTTTGAGAGGTATGAAAGGCTAACCGACCGCAATCAAAGGGGTCTATATGATGTGGATTAAATTACAAATCAATCACTAACTACAGAACAAGATATGATTCACCTGTTGATTTGGGACATACAGATTGCCATCTTTGTACTTCAGTCGAGATGAATCTTCAAGTCCTGTTGCATTACCAACACCACCAGGAGCATTCATACAATAACCAGTTGGACTCGTGAAACTTCCAAACCCAGTGGGACTGCCAGTGGGGACAGGCTTGAATTGCTGCATTCCATACTTCAGGCCACTTGCAGTCAGATGGGAGCTACCTCCAGGCATCAGCAAGTAACTGTTGCCATTTGAGGGGTGCGGGTAGGCAGGGTTACCAGAGTAGCCAGGCATGGCCATCGGTGGAACATAAACAGGGGAGAGGAACTGACGATATGGCATAAGATTAGCAAAATGGGAAACATGAACTTGTGGATACATCTGGGCCACTGGTTGTTGTATCATGGCTATTGTTGATGCAGCGATGCTATTCGCTGCGTGAGAGATTAAGGCCTGTGAAGAGAAGTTGTTAAATAGTCAGTAATTATAATAGTAGGACATAACATTGTTTTTGGCTGGTGCATTAAAAAAAGGACATAATCAAACTGTATTAACACTTGCTCTGATAATCAAATAATCTCAAATGCATATCAAATGCACAAAAAAAAGACAATCTCAAGTGCATATGGCAGAGTCGTGTTCGTGTGTGCATTGGGGTGTGTGTGTGTGTGAGAGAGAGAGAGAGAATTTATGGCTTTTAAAATTTACCTCCTGAGGAGATGGCAGACCCTGCCCCCTGACAGATTCATCAACTGTAGGTCTGAAATATGGTATATCATAACCAGTCTGAGGATCATATGCCTGCATGCAAACCACCACAAATCATGGTGCCAGACCAGACTAATAGAAAAGCTAGACCATATAATGTACTAAATTTTAGACAAAGCTCAATATCAAACACGAAAGGCCAACCCCAAACACAAGTAGACCACTCTTTTTCAAGCTCAAACTGCTCAAGTATATTAAAACGGAGGATTGGACTCACTGAAAAACTGGGTAATTCAGGAGGATCTTGCTGATGTTGCAACTCTGAAAGAGTATAGGATGGGCTGTTGTCTCGAACCAATCCAATATCTGCATAGTCGTCCAAATTCTGTTGACTTGAAGATTCCTTGTTATCAGCCAATTGATGTTCAAATGCTGAACCAGATGCGGGAGAATTGGATCCAGAATTTCGAACATGGCCATCTACTACATCCACCTGCTTGCTACGAGAAGTTTCTTCGCCAGAATTTTCTAAAGCAGATGCCGATAACCTGCCATTTATACCATGGATATCATTTCAAGCACAAGTAAATTGCTTGGATATCTTACGGTAAAGTTTTTCTCCAATGAAATTCATAAAGAGGATATCAGAACTGAGAGGATTTAGGGTTTGTAATAAGTGAATGGTCCTCTTCCACTATTCTAAAAATGAATTACAAAGCACATGATTATAATAGATACTAACCCAAATGATTGTGAACATTTTGGAAAATCAAATTATAACTTAATAACAAATAATTAAACATCAAAATAATTTATAAATCGAGGGAATTTTTGAACTAAAAGAAATTTCCATACAAAAATTTGTCACTATGCACAACTGCCGATAATTAGTAATATAACCATGTAAGAAACCAACCTTGCAGCTGGTTCAACAGATGATTCTTCTACATCCAAAACTGCTCGAGGCCCTGAACTCCTGGAAGACTCAAACTTGGTTCCCAAGCTGCCAAAGGTCAGGCGACAGCGGTCAGTCTCAGAGACACGAATATGTGCTGCAATGACCACGTTCTGATTCTCAGAGATGTTTACTTGTGAAAATTTATCTTGCAACTGAGCTGCCTCTGTTTCTGAATTCTTAGAAGTAACAGCAGGTGGAGAAACAGATTCTGCAGGTCTTCCAATATCCCTGGAACCAATAACACTTATTTTTTGGCTTGACTTTGGTTTCCATTCCTTATTAGGCTGGGGGGCTACTACAAAAAAGCTCATCGTCAGTTATATGACCTGTGTAGAAAAATATTACAAGCATAGATTGCAATCTTTCAGCTGATAGACGTGGTATTTCTTGATCAAAAGTGCTTGAGGCACCGGTAACACAAAGGCGTTATGAGACCCAAATTTCGCACACAAGGATGAAATAGAAATCAAAAATAAAGATTTATAAGCATCCTACCTCGAGCCCCCCACCCCTAAAAAAAAAAAACCGATCAAAACACATACATGCCCACAAACCAAACCAAACAAAAAATAACCTACCAACCTACATTTTGAATGTCTAAAGCAATTCATATGTCCATTAAGGTGGTGTTTGATAAAAATAAAAGCTAAATATTGAATTTTAAATGTTGAATGCTAAATATTTTTAACTTATAGACTGTTTTTGGTACCCAATGAAATTTAAGTATTAAATTAAATTAAATTGTCTGACAAATATAAGGAGCTAAAGTAAACAAATTAGAACTACTTTATTCCTACCATCACGATTACAATGGTGGAGGTGGAGGTGGAGGTGGAGGTGGAGGTGGAGGTGACGAGGACGACGCAATGGTGGTGACAGTATTGGTGGTCGTGATAGTGACACAATGGTGATGGTGGTGGTTCCGGCACAATGGTGGTGGTGGTGGTGGTGGTGGTGACGGTGGCACAATAGTGGTGGTGATGATGGCACAATGGTAGTGATAGTGGTGGCAACACATTAGTAGTGGTGGTTATTGAAAAGTTAAGAGTGTAAAATGCATTGAGAGTATATTTGTCCATTATAAAAAAATTCTAAAATCCTTACTAATGTTTTCAACATTAAGTGAAATGTAGGTGACTTGCTATTTAAAATGTTAGCCTATTTTTAAGGAGTGCTTAATATGTTAAGTGGTTTGAATTTTAGGTTACCAAACGAATTTAATTCATTAAGTGCTTAAAGTATTCAATTTTATGCATTAAATGGCGCTATCAAACAGCCCCTAAATCATTGAAAACAAATATAGCATGGGAGTGTGCAATTATTAAATGAGATATTAGAAGATATGAGATGGAAATACAGCCAAGACTTGCTAGTAGAACTAACATTTTTTTCCTTTTCTGGATGATTAACCACAAAACATACATTTATCATAGTTTTTTACCAGTAAAACAACAAAAACAAAATCCTTCCAACTATTTTCGGATAAAAATAATTGAGAACTATTCAAACTCAGGCAACTGCATAACTATTCATTGACTCATTGACTCACACAGCTGCCTAAACACCTTTATGAAAGTTGTAACCTTTCAAAAAACTGAATTTTTTTTCTCCGATTAAGGAAAAAGGATAATATGCATAGCAAAAAAAGGGGGGAACACAGGTATGCCAGCAGGAAGTTGCCATCTTAACCATAAATTTGTAATTTTGATTTTTGATGGTCAGAAAGTTCCTTTTGCTGTAATTCTAAACCATCATCATCTTCAACAACGCATCCCTGTGTATTTAAACCAATACCTGTCTAACACAAATCTCAATAAGAAATAAATATTACAACTATATCTTATTCCATACACAACTGAAAGATGAGAGCTAATTAAACTTCTTGGCAACTGCATCAGACCAGGAAAAAACAAAATACTACAACTATCAAATTTCATAAACAACTGAAAGATGAAAGCTAATTAAACTTCTTGGCAACTGCATCAGACCAGGGAAAAACAAATACTACAACTATCAATTTCATAAACAACTAAAAGATGAGAGCTAATTAAACTTCTTGGCAACGGGATCAGACCACAAAAAACCAAATGACACCGCACCAACATAGATACTCAAGGTTGAAAGATCATACCTTTCTGATGACCCAAAGGTTGCTGATGTGGTCTGCTACTGTATTGATTGCTCAAGAACGGTCTGGTGAGTGACATGCTAGAAACAGCTGATTCAGATACGGCTGTGTGACTGGGTTGGTCACCTTTAGAAATGGAAGTAAAGTATCGTATTGGTTCTCTAGAGGTGGCCTCCCGCCCCCTAGGTGAATTCGAAAGAGAGCTGGTTTGTGCAGATGAAAACTTCACAGAATTCTCAGAAGGCTGACGGCGTACACCCACGACTCTAGCTTCACGCTTGATAGTCCCAACATTAGCAGCTGGTCTGGAATCAAAAGACGGCACATGAACAGGATCTGAAGAAGATGGATACACGCCCACCACTGAGTTGTTCGATGACATCATAGAATGTGGTTGAGAATCATTTGGCTTCGCAGCTTGCACCCGCAAAACCGTATTTGGAACCAAAGACCATTTCGCCTCCAATAATTCTTTCCTATGAGTACCACTTGAAAAACCATCCCTGGCCTGCCTAGGTTGCGAATCAGTTGGCCCATTTAGAGATTGTGATGAATGGTGGCCAACAGGGGTCTTTTGATTGCCAGAAGTCCCTGTCAAACTGCTGAAAACGCCCATGAATCGATCTGTTTATAATACATGCACAACAGAGACTACCTACCAAAAACAACATAGCAATCCCATATAGAAGGGGAATAACTTCATTTGCCAATATATAATTACTATGTTACTGAAGAATTGCAGAGATAAATTACTAGAGAAGACTGGGTATTTGTGGATGCAATCCTAATCTTCATAGTTTAGAAATGTATCAATACAGGATAGTTGGTCATTTTGCAGACAACACTACAAGCTAATTTTAATATACAACAAAAAAACCAGGTTCAGGGCACTGCATTCTCAACCAAGCACCATGACATTTAGCACTCCAAAATAATTAAATCCAGTAATCATCAACACTGTATTCTCCATTAGAAAATGTGGTACCTAATACAGAAATTAAACTCAGATTGTCTCTGCACAGGCACAAGTAGCAAAAGAAAACTACAGCTTGAAAAACCAAAACATGAAGAAAAACAGAACGAAGATCACAACAATGATGAACCTCCAAAATTGGTACTGACATGGAAGGTGGCAACATAAAAGAAAAATGAAAGATCCTTCGGCACATGTAAATATTCCAATGCAAATAGTTTGGAAAAATTCCATGGGAATTTGTTTGGCTAGACAAAAACTGAAATCCAAGAACATCAGAAGCTCTAAGTGAGTATTTTTGGCTAGTAACAAATCCGCCGTCCAGAGCTGCAATATTTTCTTTTCTTGATAGAAAAGATAAGCAAAGTCCAATTAAAAGCCGATTGGGCAGCCATAATAGAACTTTACAGGGGCACCAAAGACAAAGAAAAAGCTCAGCAAATAATCTCTCTATGCAATGGTGATAACCTCCCCTAGATACTTGGCCACTCAAGTAAGAAAGTGAATTGATCAAGGCCCAGATGGAACACACATATTGCTTAATGCTACTTGATGCTTAAAGTGAATTGATCAAGGCCCAGATGGAACAAACACATATTGCTTAATGCTACTTGATGCATCCGTTCCTTTGCTCCCATTTAGGGTCCGATGAGGATTCCAATGCATGTAGACAAATTTATCACAACCTTTAAGTAGTGGAAAATCATAAAAAGTAGTTAAGAATATGCACTAGTAAAGACTATTCAGATAATTTCCATTAGACACATATCAGACAAAAGGGCTCATCGCATAACTATTGTGCAATTTATTAATTGAAAATTGCATGGTTGTTTACTTGAGTCACAGTTGATCAACTAAAATCATCTTGAACCCTACAATCATCTATCTAGATTTAAGAACTATTATTCTTTTTGGTTGATTCCTCAATTAAAGTGTAGAGAGAGTTTTCTCAGTTGTTTCCATTATAAATTACACCAGTCACCAAAAAATATTAGTGTCTTTTTGGCAAGGGCGTTTAATGTCCCCATCACAAGACAACCGTAGATCTGAGTGTGAAACCATGTGCATGTGCATGTGCATGTGCATTTTAATCCAATGGGCTGGGCCAAACAACAGGGAGATTAAACCACCCCAACATAACACTGTCTTGCCAATCCCGACCAACCTTGATAACCCCAGAACCCTTGCTCATTTTAGACCCTTCCCCCCCGAAAAAAAAAACTCAAAAAAAAAATAATAATAAGAAAGAAAGAAATGAGCAAGTACACAACCACATATCTCAAAAATATATGCAAGTAGTATGCATTTTAAGACAATCTAAAACCAGAAAAATGAGTGTGAGCATGCTGAACAAAAAAAAACCATATAAAAATCGTGTAGTTGTACCTGTTTTCAGAAGCATTGGAGATCACTGGCTCATTTCCATGCATTAAAATCTGCACTGAAGGAGGATTTGTCTCTCTATTTGGATTTTGATTGGTTCTGTTGTCTCTAACAACGCGAAACTCTCTATTGATTCTTGTATCTAGGAAGATTCCATCCATCAACAACCCACAATAAAAAATATAAAATAAAAAAACTCATGAGAGATCATGACAGAGAACACGTAAACATAAAATGAAAACAAACAGAAAGCAAAAGTGGCCCATGAAGAAACTTTACCAGCAGCATGAAGTATGGAAAAGCTAAAAGAATTGTAATAAAAGGGCAAACACAACCAGGAAAAGCTATTCTTTATCCAAAAAAAAAACCTTTGGCTATCAAACTAGGAGCATAAATTTCGAACAGGGAATATACAACATTAGTTCAAGTAAAAGCATGGAAAGAATACGTGGAACAAAAACATACAAGCTGTTAAAGAGATATGTAAGGCAAAAACACAATCCTCCGTGATAAGGTCAAGATACGTCAAAATTCTCCCACAATCTAACAAGACTACCAAAATGAGGATTTTACATAACTTGTACCATAAAAAATAGGGAAGTCACAATCGAAATAAGTGCAAATTTCACTTTACCCCTTGTAGTTCGGCCCCTCTGCACATCACCCACTCACCTTCAAAAATAGCCACAAATTCCTGAGGTGATGGGTGGACCAAAATGCATCACTAACTACACATATACACAGATAAAATGACCTAAAACCTCTCTCTCTCTCTCATCCCCAACACCAAATCCAACCCCCAACCTCGATAGACCTCCCCATTCCAACCCAACACTGACAGGACCCTTCCACCCCTAACCCTAGCAAGAAGCCCTTCCCTCCCCCCCCCCCCCCCCCCTCCCCCCCCAAAAAAAAAAAAAGTCCACATCACCCCCCAATGCCACCAAGTCACTACCACCAAACCACTAAAACCCAAGACGCAGCATTAACCACCACCCTATTACCCAACTTATGATCAATAACACATCGCATTGAATCATACATCTCCTTCCACAATAACAACAAACCCTAATGCCAATTACAATTAGGCTTCAGCATATTCTTCAATTCATTTGTTACTCAATGTTGTCTAAAAAGTAATAGAAATGGTGCATAGGTGGGGACTAGGGAGGTCGAGGCATGAGCTGCGGGGGAACAATTCAAAGTGTGACTGGCCATGGAGTGCTTGTGTTAGAAAAAGAAAAAGAGAGAAGAAGGGGGGAAAAGAAGCAAATCAAGGGTGATGATAGCATATTAGTGGTGGATCAAGTTTTTTTTTCCCGGAAAGTAGTGGTGGGTCAAGTTTGGTTCATAAGATATGTAGGAATGGGTATTTTATACTTTTAAAAAATTATAAGGTATTTTTAACGGGTTTGGTTCTGAAGAAAATGAGAAATGGGCATTTTTGCATTTTTCAAGAATTATAAGGTAATTCCTTCAAAAAAAATTCTGACACAGTCGCATTACTCACGCATACTGTTAAGTTGGATAGAAAGTGTACTCCGCACTTTAGTACACAAACCACGTAAAGGTAATCTGGCTATTTCCAAAGGTAAGGAAAGCAAAATGAAAAAAAAGACCTAACCATCGGGAGTAAAATGAAGCTTGGCCTAGACATAAATTCCTACGTGGGTCAGTCATTACTAATGTAGGAGAGCAAATGTTCTATTGCATCTCTATTTTTAGAGAAATGTATAACATTCAAAAATATATTTTTTATTTCTCTACCCAAAAGTCATAGTATAGATCCCATCAATTCATGAATTCTAGCGGTGAAGATATACCGAATGCCTCCTTGGAAGCAAAACTTAACTATAAAACCTAGATAAAAAGAAGCATTTCCTTTATTGGGCAACAGCAAAAATTGGACTGATTGATCTTAAAAATTGTGGTAAATCAAACAAGATTAGCCGAAGGTTGAATAAGCAAGGCTCAAAGCCCCAAAGAAAGCTCTAACCGGAATTTAATCTGTAGTGACACAAGTTGTATACAATAGATGTGTGAGACAGTAGACAATTTTGAATTAGTGGAGAAGGTGAATCAGCGAGGGTTATAGAGGCAATGCAGAACTCATGGCTAGAACAGTTCGACAAACCAATGGAGTCATAGAGTGGACTGTCATAGAGCTCAAAAACAAGTATCATCGAACAATACAACTCAGTTTTACTCTCTGCTAATTCTGCCATGCCATGCCAGCTTCAGAGCTTGTACACCTTATCCATTTTTTTGGATAAGAAACAACAATTTTATTAATAAAAATGAAAGGAGTAATACAAGAACCAATAACAAAGGTGGACAAGTCGTCCAACACAAAAAAGACAAAAAAAACCAAAAAAAAAAAAGCACAAAAACTAGACCATAAAGATAAAAATTACAATTCAATAGTCGATGTCCAGCTTGAAGTAATGTAAAAAAGAGGAATGTTCTCAAAATCCTTTGTAACGGAAGCCCAAAAATGCATTCGGACCCATAAAGATTCTACTTCTCGATAATCTTAAAAAATTCCTCTCCATCCATGATACCCATATAAGAGCAAAACATTCACAATGCCAAAGAGTTTTCCCTCTTCTACTTTTACCCAACACTCTAAAAAACAAAACATAGATGATATTGTCCTCGGAGCAACCCAAAAGATGCCAACAAAATCAAAAAATTTATTCCAAAGTGAAAGAGCCAAGGGGCATTGCAAGAACAAATGATCCACACTGTCACAATCACTTTTACACATCACACACCATTGTGGTGAAGGACAATTCATCGGTCTCCTCCTTTGAAGCAAGCAATTATCCATGCACACTATTGCATATTAGCCTTTCAAATCTTCAAAGGCAGAAAATGGAAATGCGGAGTCATCAACTAAGAATTCAAAATAAGATACCCGAACAATCACAAATCTAAACTCTTTTGCTTGAAGAATTTGGATTCGATTAAACACCATTGAGCATAAAAAGAAATAACAACTCCAACTACTCTCCATCATTTAGATTCCTACAAAACCCAAAATTCCAAGTGACCAAAAAAGAGGACGATAATGCTAAGGATGCGATGGTCTTTAAATGATAGGTAGAAAGATGATAAAGACGAGGAAAAGAATGCTCCCCCTCCAAATATCCTCCCAAAACCGAACTTTCAATCCATCTCCCACAATGAACTTGACTTGTTGAGAGAAACTAGGAATTTTTTTAGAAATGAATTTCGAAGGACTTCGGAATGTACCATTTTCAACCTCATTGACATCCCATCCATTAACTCGCAGCCCATATTTGCTACTAATAACCACACATTCCACATTGAATCTTTGCTTCAAAGGAAACTTCCATAGCCATTTCCCAACAAGAACCGCATTTCTTTTTATCAAATTCTTCAACAATAAACGACCCTTAATCTTAGGCCTAGACACAACCTCTCAACTAATCAAGTGGTCCTCCTTTCTTTCTCCACAACCTTTCCATAAGAAATCTCTCATCATCCTTTTAAGTCTTTTTCCAATTCTCTTAATTACTGAGTCCCAAAAAAATTTCGACATTGAATTACCACCTAAAAAAACCTAAATACTTTAACAATCATCAACCCACAATACACCCCAACACATAAATTATATAGCTCTTCAACAACTAATACAACAAGTATATTATATAGGTTCCTAGGATATGTAAATGTACATTAATTTGTATCTGATAGCTTTGTATTATGATCAAACAAAAAAAAAAAAGTCTATGAGCTTGGGGAAGAATTTCATGTCCAAGTTACTGATGATTCCGCAAAAATGGTGATAAAGGAAGTGATGGGAAATTGTTGGAAAAAATGGACAATAAAGGGGTGATGCCTTAATCAATGATCAAAATTTTATTTCGAAACGGTCAACACATCGGAAACGTTTATGTTTACAATGAGACCAAAACAAATCAGTAATGAAATCAATATTCTACTACGAAGTTTTTTATAGTGTTTTGTAATGTTTCAATGCATTTGCACAATTATTTCGAAATATTTTAAGGTATTTAAGACACTTTAGTATATTCCGACCAATATTTTTAAAAAATAATTCTTAAATTCTTTAATTTTTTCATTCTATTTCTAAAATGAGTCGAAATTTTTTTGAAACATGCCGAAATATTTTTATTTTCTATGTAACCGAAATAATGCACTTAAACGAAATTTTGATCATTAGCATTAATAGAGGATGGTGGCTATAGATGTGGATAAAAATGAGAGAGAAACATGCCACTTCACTTCAGGATACATCCAACGATGCATAAGAATTAGATTTCAACCAAACTCTGAAACTCCATAGAACCAAACAACGCATGTCTTTCCTCTCTTTAAGCACAACAAGTGAATCCACACACTGTAATCAGAACCATCCCATCAAAATGCAAATAACAAAGGCTAAGATCTATTAAATATATTTAAATAAAGTTTGGTTCCTTTCTTTTTATTTATATTTTTTTAAAAAAAATTTCAACATAATAAGTACTTGAGTTTTCCAACATCAACAACACATCATATCACATTTTATCTGTCATTTCCTCGATAAACTATGAATTAAGTTTGCTCCACCATGCAAAAATCAGTCGTGAGTCAATGCTATAAAAGTCGAGCCTAGGCCTTCACTTAGGCTTAAGGCGACTCCAGGAGCACCCCTTTAAATTTAATTGGCCTCACATAGGTGAGGCACGCCTCGGGGATTGAGCTCAAGGCGCTCGCACTTTTTTTTTTGTTCTGTCTCGATATATTTTGATTAGGCATGAATACATTAATGCTAACATTATTTTTTCTAATTTATGGATGAGACTTCCCTAAGGGCTCAGGCTGGTCTAATGTTTTCTCTTTCCAGCAACTATCTTCCCCCTTCCAGTTCATCTATCACATGCTACAAGCAATGTATCATACCTTCTTCTATTGTGTGCCACTCCTTTCTTTTAGTGATTCGTGTACTATAGCCTGAACCCAATTTTTGTTTTTGTCACTATTCCCAAAGAATTTACTTTTTGGTTATGTGATTGTAAGTAATTGTTTATTACGTTTGCTTCTCTGCACTTTGACTTCATTGTTAAATTGATTGATTGTGTACCAGTTCAAATACTCTATATTTGAATAGTTGAAACTTGGATGCTTTATAATTTTTTAAAGCTTAGTTGTGAACCTCAAGAATTGTAATTTTTATGCCTTGCTTGAAATATTTGTCAATGATAAAATCTTTACTTGTTATTTATGATGTTTGCCTCGCTTTGATGAAGCCCTCGCTTTGATGAAACCCTCACTTTGATGAAACCCTCGCTTCTCCTATTGCCTCTTGCCTAAGCCCCAAGTGACCCTTAGCGCCTCAATTGTCCTTGGGCGTTAAATAACACAAGTGTGGGTACATGCGTGATGCAAATGTCACCGCTGCAGTCTCGGTACCCTAGCTCCAACTTACGGCCATCAATGTCGGCCATCTAGTACATATCATCTTATTTTTTAGTGAAAATCTAGCAAGGTTCGCTTAGTCTCGTACACCCACTCAGAATGGTTACTGGACAAGGTTGATCCTTTGCAACGTGTGGGAATTCCCTTTTCAAAATTGCAGATGAGAATTACATCAAATATAGCAAGCAAAAACTGAAGCATTAAACATATATAAGACAAATAGAAATCTTGTTATTTATAAGTGATAAACATAATCTCATCATGAAATCACATTACCAGGTAAACCATTGCGACTATAGCCTCCACTTCGTACATTACGATCAGAATATGTGCTAGATTTCATCCGCTGAACAAAATGGTCAATATATTTTCTTGGCTCTGCAGCATTAGAGCCCTTGTACATTGTATTCTGGATTGAAATTCAAGGATAAATGTCAATCAAATGTTAGATAAACGTAAAAGTACACGGCAAGGGTAAAAATGTGGGGAAGTTGTGCCACTCAAGCTAAAGTCTCAAAGGTACCTTTAAAAGGTCCAAATTACCTATATCAAATGTATTCCACCAGATACCCGGCCCCCACCAAAATAACGAGAAAAAAAAGTAAAGATCTGCACAAAATCATTAGCAAATCCCAATTTCTTGAGTAGACTAAAGAAAGACCTAATTGGAGTTTGACCATTATGCTCTATCTAGTACCAATACTTAAACAAAATATCGACAGCATTCAACATTCAACAGCATATAGTAGCCTTGGTAAATGGAAAATGACAGTTTAAATGTACTCTTCAGATGGTCTGAAGCTTTGCATTTTTTCACACAAAACAAAATTGCTTTCAGTGTCGTCAAAAACACATACCTTAAAGGTATCATCAAGTTATTACTGGTATAAAAGCAAAAGCAAGCAATGCAAGAAGAGGATCAAAAGCAGTTTTCCCAATATTTGTGCAAGCAATGTGCCTAAATACAATTAAGTTTTCAGAAGAATACCTCTTTCTTTTTGTCTTTTTTTCTCTTCACTTCATGAAATGGATCTAAAAAAGGACAACAAAGAGTGAGCAACATAAGAAAACCATTCATAGTACAACAAAGAAGAAAAACAAAACAGGCAAAAAGGTAGCAAAATTTATAAAGAAACGGAGCATGAACTCACTATAAAAATACAAAATAAAATATGCGGCTTTAGTATTCAACACAACCTCCTGCTTAATAACAACAACATAGTAATGACACTCACCCACATGCATTTTTCATCAAAGTTTTACCACTTTATGAGTCTCGATAAAAAAAATTCTGAAAAGTGCATTTAAGTTAGGACTTCAAGCAGAAAAGGGTGGAAGGGCATTCAGGCATATAATAGAGGTCCAAATAAAATAAGCAAAGAAAAAAAATTTTGGTTCAAAAACTACTGTCAGAAATAACATGTATCGTGTCATCATCACTTTCGACAAATTTAAATAATTGGTCATGATAAGAATGAAGGGATGAAATCTGCATTTCATTCTGAATTCCCCAGGTTGCACGTTTGGTTCATATTATTGAGAGGGATGGCAAGAGAATCTCAACCCAATGGTCAACACATAAAAGGCGGCCCCAATGCAGGAGACTCCAGTCAGTGTGGGGTCTAGGAAGAATCTCAAGATTTTCAAAAGAAGATGTCGTCATTCCCATGTCCACTAAAACTAAATTTAAGAGCAAATGAGATGTGATAGCTAATTTTTCCATCCACCGCAGGAACTCCAATTGAAAAGCATACTTTTGGCAAAGTCTAGACATACTAAACTCAAACTGGTTGGCATTGCCTCTTCGAGTGAAAAAAAATGACAAATTTGTTGGATCTACAACTACCCAAATAACATTCCCTCGCCCCCCCCCCCCCCCCCCCTCTCTCTCCACTGATACCATGAATTATCTGTGACACTTTCACTATGATCCCCTTGATAAAAACTATTACTAAATACAGTCACAAATTAAACAAGTGAGGACACGTCAAAAGACTCAAAACAATAAAAGAGATGAAGAAAACTTGTTTTTATCATTTCCTACAACTGAGCACTATAAATTGACACAAAGACAACCACTAAACACTAACACCAATTACAGATCAAAACAAAGGAACAACAACCTCCACTTGACATCAAAATGCACCCAAATGATTCCAAAAAATCACAATAGTCTATATTGTGATTTGAGTAACTTTCTGGTCAACTCATTTAATTGTTCTCACCTCTTTACGCAAGCTTGAACTCAAGCTAAGCCTCACCTTCCAAAAAACAAAGACAGCTAAATGCAAAAGAAGATTACTTTTTTTTTTTCAAATTACTGATGTAGAAGAAATACAAAATTTATTTATTTATGATTCAAACAAGCTTATAGTTACCATAACATATCGTCAACACAGACACAACATTACAATTAGAAAGCTAACCAGTCCCCACTCCCCACTACTCTAGAAGGAAACTATAAGAAGTCACACTTTTATGCTTGGTAATATGTAGGGCAGTAAAATGATGCCATCTACAAGGCTTCAGTACTCCACCATCCCCTCTATATTTTCTTATGGGTATGCATGCTTTTGAACAGTGTGTATGTTAATGACAGAAGAAAGGCCTTGACCAATACGGTTTTGGGGAGCAAAACCCAACCACCAACTGCGATGGAAAAACAGAAGGGGGGGAAGTAAAACAATCAAAGTGGGGCGTGTTTAAACAGACCTTGATTTAGCAATTTTTGAGCAGTTTCGTTGGGATCCATATTGCTCTCTTTAAGAGTCACATATATATCAGCATCAGAGTGATTTCCTACAATTTCTTTGATTGATTGAATGGTTTTCCGTATCTCAGCAGACAGAGTTTGTGCCCCACCTTCGATTCGCGTACCGGAGACCATCTCCAACCAAAACACGAAAATTAAACTGAACACAAAATGTATAAAGAGGCAGATATATATAAATATAAATGTGTATATTGTAGGTAATAATGGACAATCAAACTCTAGAACAGCAATGGATGATGAAAAAAAATGGTTATTAATGGAAGAAAAGTAAATTGAATGTTTTGCATATGGTAGAGAGAGGATGAGAAACAGAGAACGGCGAAGCGGAGAGAGAGTTCGAGGAGCGAGGGTTTTGATAACACATATCCCTGTGTTTTAATGATAAATGAAAAAGGTGGTTTTGAAAATTCCTATTGGTTTGCTACGATTGCTTTACGTTTGACCTAATTTGCGTTAAATTGCCCATCTCTTCAGTCCATATCAATCAGCCCGATACTTTTATGTAACTGGTGTGAGATATTAATTTTGGGCTAATCTCAACTCAATCTCGAATGATTATTTGAATTTTAATTTGTACTCATAAATATGTATTAAAATATATTTGAGACTAACTATCATTTATTTTATCAATGAAAACATTTGAATTAATTATAAATTCTATCCTTCAAATTTTAAATATTTCACATCTATAATACAAAAGAATTTTTTCCATTAATGCTCGTTAAATAACTCTAAATTATATCATATTATAATATTTTCATATCGTGTTGGATAAAAAAATATTTTCATATCGAGTCAATTACATTGTATCTTATCTTTCACATTTACGATAATTCATGTAATATTTTTTAAAAATTAAAAAATTCCAATTTTTTGTTTATAATACTTGTTAAATAACTATTTTTAAAAATAGTTATTTAACTAGTATTATAGGTAAAAAAAATAGGAATTTTATAATTTTTTTAAAATTTTTAAAAATATTTTTTATTGACTCAAACAGGATACGAAGATGTTATGATATGATACAATTGAGAGCTATTTAAAAAGCATTAATGGATTAAAAATTTTTTTAGACAATAAATATAAAATATTTAAACTTGAAGGGTATAATTTATAAATAACCCATAATTTTTTAACGAAAAAATAGACAGAGTTAGTTTCAAATACAGATTAATACGAATTTATATCTTTCAGGATGTAAATTGATATTTGAGTGATGTTTTAGGATTTAAGTTGAAATTAACCCTTTAATTTATTTATTTTTAAATATATAATAAAATATATACAAATTTTATACATATTTCTCAGAACACCAGCCAGCCATTCACATTTAGTTGGGTCACATCATCAAAGATAGGTTAGTCACACTCAAATTCAAGAGTTTCCCCCAAAACTTGTCACTCCTCCAAGCTTGGCAGCTTTTAGTAGTGACTTAAGTTCAAATGATAATGAGTAAGAGATGTTTTGAGAATGAGGATGAGGCTGATCAGATTCGGATGTTGATTTAAGAGCTAGGTGCACTCTTGAGGAAGTTTATTTTGACTGTTTTTATATGTATGAAAGATTAGCTTGGTTTTTTACTTGACATTTCTGAAGATGAGACCTCAGAGACTCACCTATGGGAACATCAAGGCCTTCATCCTGGATCCTTCTGGAAGGGCTTTCTTCTTTTTCACTGCTCCTTGAATGCTGCCTGCTTGCTCTGTTTTGAGGAGTACAACCTACGAGCAAGAAAGGAACTACTGACTTCATCATCCATTTGTTTCTCCCATTCCTCAAAGAAGCTGGTGGACGGTGAATGAGCAGAAAAGTAAGTTGGTATTGTGCTTTCCATTCGGCTGTAGACAATGCCAGTAAGTTTGTAATGAGTGCATTCCTTTGTTTTGAATGTGCAGTCTCATATTGATGGAAGCCTTTTTGCTTTCTTTGTCTCTTATTGAGTCTGGATTCTACTAAAAGTACCAGCTCAAGGCTGACACTTTCTTTAGAATTCTAGACCCTTAGTTTTGTTGATAGTCTTTTGGTTATACTTTTGTAATGGGTGGATGCATTGTTATGTGGGCATCACCCTTTGTTTTGATCTTGAAGTTCTCCTTCTTTCTTTATGAATATAATTTACATTCTGTAACTCTTATCCAAATGTTATATCATGTTTTGGAATAGTACAACATATATATTCATTATTTTCCTCTCCCACAACACGACAAAAAATTTTACAATATAATGTTCAAGGTTTAACTCTTAAGTTATTATTACAAACACGTTGAGAAAGTCGTGTTGAAAGTGTTAAAGCAATAAGATTTCAAGCTCCAAGAATAAGAGATGTATTATTGCAATTAACAAAAACTAGTTAAGATCCTAAAACAAGAAGTGAATCTAATTGTTTAGCAACATATGAGAATGAAAATTTTGAGTTATTATTGGATATGACTATTTGATATAATATTTTATTTTTCATCAACTTAGTTAGTAAATATTTACAATCAAAAGACATGCATATTGATATTGCTATAAATCAATTAAAATGTCTCATTTCTTTTTTTTTTTAAAATATAGGGAAAGTGGATTTATAAATGCTATGATTTCATCTAAAAAGATTGCATGTGAAACGGGCATAGAACCTATATTTTGTGAAAAACGTAGAGTTCGTAGAAAGAAACAGTTTGATGAAAATGTTGATGATGAGGTAACACAATTTATTAAAGAATATTTTAGAATTAATTATTTTACATATATAATTGATCATGTTATTTCTTCATTTAAGAGTTGATTTGAACAATTACAAAAGTAAGAAAATATTTTTGATTTTTTATTTAATTTAGAAAAATTAAAATCATTGACCGATGATAGTTTAAAATAATATTGTTTGGATTTCGAATATTTTTAAACATAAATTTTTTTTCGACATTGATGGCTTAGATTTATTTTTAGAACTAAATGTTTTAAAAGAAATTTTACAAAGAAAAAAAAACACTCCAATTGAGATACTAAGTTATATAAAAAAGTTAGATTCTTTTTCCAAATGCATGCATTATTTATAGAATATTATTAACAATTCATGTAACAGTTGCATCTTCGGAAAGAAGTTTTTAAAAATTAAAATTAATAAAATCTTACTTAAGATAGACTATATCACAAGAAAGATTAACTGCATTAGCGATACTATCAATTGAAAAAGATATAGCAACAAAACTTAAATATGAAAACTTAATTAGTACTTTTGCAACTCAAAAAATAAGAAAAATTAATTTTAAATAAAAAATGTTAATACTAAACAAAGAAGGCCGCATTTAGAGGTACCGCTTTAAGCCCCAAATTGTCTTGAACCACCCCAGTCTTTTACCTTCCAAAAAGAAGGAGCAAGGTAACAAGAATAATTTTGGAACTCTTACATGCATTGTAGTTTTAATTTTCACCAATTTCTTGACCACCATCCATCCCTATCTTCACTCTTCAGCTTTCGATATATATTATGCTAGATAAAAATGTATCTGGTGTCCATAACTTCCGTTACCTATCTTCCTTTCTCTCTCTCGCACTAGCAGCATCCCACATTCGCGCCCACCTTACCTCTAATAAGAAAAACTGCATTCGTAATTTGCATGCAATATTGCCCCCGCCCATTGGAACAGAAAGCCAATTTGTGCAGTTTCTTTATTTTTCCTTTTACATATTTATAAAAATTGCTCGCACTTACTCTTCTTAATACAAAAATTTGCCAAAAATAGATGTATTGTCCTTAATTGAAGTTATAAAAGCACCTTCCGAATGTATGTTATATTACTATTTACCAACGTCAAATACTATATATGCACATGTATACAACTGTTAACCCCATTGTATATGGAAAGCATGCATGAAGCTGTAAATTTTCTCCTTATGAATTCATGCTGGCATGACTTGTATTTGCAGCCAAATTTAACCAATCACCCAGCTATTATAAGAGCACTTGAAAATATAGGGGTTAAAAGAGAAAACCCAGGTCAAGTCATATCAATCTTGCCCCTAGCTAGTACAATCTGCTGCAACAATTTCGCCCTCTTTTAACCAGTAAATATGGCTAATGAGTCGGACTTTGAAGTAGGTATTGCTGTCATGGCCATAGCAATTGATAGAGACAAGAACAGCCACCATGCCGTGAAATGGGCTATAGAAAAAGGTTTGAAGAGGAACAGTCAGGTCATCCTCGTCCATGTCCAGACCCAACAAAACATACGGCCCCGTAGGTACCTCAACTTTAGGAGGTCTGGAAAGCTTTGAAAATGATTTCATGGATTGAACTTTCCCTTTTACCTTGTGATCGTTTTATGCACGTTCAAAGTCTGTAAATAGGGGAATTTGGAGAGAATTTTATTTTGTGCCCATTCAGTTAGGTTTGTAGATTATAATGTTTTTGAACCAAACAATATTCTGCAAAAATAACGCAAGCAGCCAAGATTCATATGTAGAGCAATTTGCATGATCTTAGTCATCCATGCGATACATAGATACCTTAAGAGTTATTTTTCACCAAATATAGCAATTGTAGTATCTATCATAATTTCGGTTTTTTGGACATTAATTTCCTTTTCATGTTTGTTTGTTCCGTTTTGCAGAGGGAGCCATTGTCCCCAAAGAAGGTCGTGCACCAACAGAATTGGAATTGCAGCAATTCTTTCTACCTTATCGTGGAATTTGTGCTCGAAAAGGGGTAATTGTCTATAGTTCTATTTATACCTTATGTAAGTCCTTTGCACATTTACCTATTATCACCCAACATATACATGGTTTATCCATGAACCAATGGAAATGGAAATTGTTTGTTCCACTTCCATCCATAGACTAATAGAAGTGTTCTGAACCTTGCCATCTATTAAGAAACTAATATATGTACTTATACATAAAATGTTTGAGCTGAGTTCTTCCATTAATCCTTTTGCTTCTGTCATTAATTGGGCACTATTATTTTTGAGCTGATCAGTTCCTTGAACCATTTAGAAGTCACATTGGAATCCTGACTTAAACTTCCAGCACCAAAACGCGAGTGCATTGGTTGATAGCAGTTGATCAAACCTGATCACCTCAAATTCTTTAAATGTGTGTACTGAATATTTGATCTAATTCATTTGGGGAAATCAAACCTACACTTATGGGCTTACATTGGTTTGCTCATGTCATAAACTGTGGGCGCGGGTGGGGCGTGGTTTTGCCAAATTTTGTGTTTCGATTATTTTTATTGTTTTCTTTGCATTTAGAAACATGTTATTACTAATTGGTGTATACGTGCGTTGCACATGAATTATTTTGAGTTTGTTTTTTGTTTTACTTAATATCTATTTAGGTTGATAGGATTTTACTTGCAACGTGGATAGTAACTAAACAACAACATAAATACAAAAAGAATGAATGGAAACAAGAATGAAAATAAAAATAAAATAAAAGAAACAAGTTTTTGCACAATTCTATGCTAAAGCACAAGAACCACCAAATTCAAATGAATCTGTATAATGATAAAATATTTTTATAGAGAATTGTGAAATTCTCATCTTTATTTTTTTGGGCCAAAATTGTTTAAATTCAAAGATAACTTACCATTATATACCAACTTCAATGTATTGTTGAAAATGCGACCACATGAGAAAACAAACTTTATTTTCAGCATGTCATAATGATCTCCTGGAATATGACTAAAGTTTAAACCTAGGGGTATAGAATATCATACATAAGATGGTTAGCTATACACATTAAATAAATATTAGTGTAAAATTCCACTTGTTTAAATCATAATATTCTGAAATCTAGTCACTAACAGACTCATTTTTACAAATTAAACCATCCTACCTGTACCATCATAAAAGGGCCTGCATTCTTATAAAGAGGAGGAGCTTCCTTGGGATTTCCCACCACGTTTCAACATGTTCAATATTAATTAATTAAGTGTTTCTTTTCTTTTTGAATGTGGTATTAACATGCTTAAATTTATCATCTAGTAAAATAGGCATCAAACACTAAACATGTCCTACATTTAAAACAAAAAAAATGAGCTGGATTATCTCTGAGGCAGTTAGACAATTAGCAATTGAGATATTTTATATTCATTTTGGTTGGATAAACGTTCTCTACTTCGTTATTCTATGGGGTCACAAGTAAAATTACTACCCATCATAATTCATAAATGAATATGATAGCAGGATTCATCATCAAATACTAACCATAAAATAGATTTAATTTTACTAAGCAAGTGCACCAAGTTTTGGCTTGAAATTGAGATTCTTTGAACCTACAACTCAAACCCAACTAGCACACTTGTTCCCAGCATTTATATACATAATTGCCATCATTAATTATTATTTTTTGCAAGATATTATAAGAAAATTTTTTTAAAAAATTTGTATAAATTAACTGAAGGTTTCTGGGATAAATTTGTACTGAAGTTAGTTATGAGGAAAAACTAAAGTTTAGTAAATTAAAGAGAAATCAATTTACAAAATTAAATGATTTTATGGTGGTTCTTAAGTAGCTGACTTTTGGGTTACATAGTTGATTTTGTGGTGGATAGCATTGTATATATATGATTTGTTAAGGGCAATAAAGGTATTCAAATTTTTTTATAATGTGTTGACATTTAGAAGTAGTATAGATAAAAGTAAGAAGTAAAACATATGATATAAGAGTAGCATAGATATAGTGGTGAAATTTTGGTGGCGCCCATCATATGTGGTCACTTAATTGGCAGTCAACTAAAACGGACGAGGTTGGTTAACTATAAATTGATTTGAAATCTCAAGAGGTTTTTCAATACTTTTTGAAAGTGTATATGGTGAAATATAATAATGTGAATATCATGGGTCATTAGTTTAAATTTAAATCTTAGTTGACCAATACATGTTGCGTATGGTTGAAAGTCACTACCCTTATCACACGACCAATGCTAGACTTAATTAGAGACCTAATTTAATATAGTTATTGAAATAATTATAAGTTCTAATATTAGATGGAGTCCACTATCAATTGCATCAAATTAAGTTCTCAGATTGGATCCCTAAACTAAGTTCAAATAGTATTTTCCTTGTCACAAACATGATTTGGTTAGCACAAGGATATATTTCAGGTTCGAGCAAAGGAGGTGGTCCTCCACGACCTTGATGTTGCCAATGCACTTGTTGGTTTTATCAATAACAACTTCATCAGTACTCTTGTTGTGGGTGCTTCGAGCCGGAGTGCCCTAACAAGGTTTCTTTCTCTTTGTCTCTCTCCCTTTTTCTTCTTTGGAGCTTTAGGAGGAGATTGAAGCACCTAGACTTCATTTTTTTCTTACTTCGAATCGAAAGAATGCTCATTTCAATTTTGTCTCGCAGGGCATTTAGAAATGTAGATGTGCCAACTAATTTAGGGAGGTCTGCTCCAAACTTTTGTTCAGTGTATGCAATATCATCTAAAGGAAAAGTTCAGAATGTCAAGTTGGCTAGTCGACCTCCTACGCCTAGTACAACTAGTTCTAGCCAGCAACAATCTCAAGCATCAGATACCCCATCCTCTGAGGATTTTTATCGGTACGTATGTCATAAAATTTCTTAAGTGTTTTCTTCATGAGTGCATAACAATGGTAAATTTTATGTAATGGGTTAAGGTTACATGGAGAAGATAATAATACACACTCTCTTTTTGACTAGGTAGAGTGAGTATCTCATGCTTGTATAGTCAGCCTACTTACTACATGCAAGGCTTACATATTTCTTATTTTTGGATTCATGTCTCTACTTCTACTATTGTAGAACATATAGCCGAAGGAGTTGGGGAAGCGAAGGCTCCGAGAAAATGCCATTTGATAGAAGCAGCGAAAGGATATCCTTTGATAGGAGTAGTGAGAGAATATCGTTTGGCAGCACGAGTGATTTTATGACGATGACTCATTCACCTGAGAGGGTCCCAACAGGCAACAAGATTCCTTCGCCCCAACAATCACTAGCCAATCTTATTAATCTTCAGGTTCGCACCAAATTAACAAGTCCGTCCTATCAAGATTCCTCATCAGAATCTTGTGGATTTTCAGGGCCACCTAGTTTCCAATCATCTAATATCTCCTATGAAAATTTAGACCACTCCTACATATCAGATGTTTCCAGGAGCTCGATCTCGTTCCAACCCCTAGTAAGTCTCATTTTCCCATATCTTGTAATGTCACATCATATGATTAAAAGAATAGGGGGATTTGTTGAAGTATAAATATTAAAGTTATACCCTCTCTAATAGTTTAAATTTTTAGAATAAATGATTGTTTAACATGGTATTAGAACAAAATGTCCTATGTTCAATTTTTGTCACCACCCTAATTAAAAGAGTTTCACGTGCTAGGTCTAAAATCTAGCATGTGAGGGGGCTTGTTGAAATATAAATACTAAAATTTGAAGTATAAATATTAAAATTACACCATCTTCAACAACTTAAGCTTTGGGAGTCGATAGTTGTTTAACAGGATTGCCATCCATAAAGAGAATAGTGTTGTATTTGTATGCTTATGGATAATCTATGTATATATGTTTGATTGTCAGCCTAGTTAAGGAATATTATGTATAAGCATACACCTAGTTCGAGTGCACAGGAAAAATTTTCTACTTGTAGCCAAAAAGAGTGCACCATTATTGTCGCCCCAAGGAAGTGTGCAGTTGATTTTGTTTACAAACGAGATGAACTTGGGTGGGTTTTTGGATGAGTGCCTGTTCTCATTTGTCTGAATGAAAGTACCAAAAATATTTTTTCCAACAAAGCGCAACAGTGGATTTTGTTTCAAAATTGTAACCAAACATGTAGATAGATAAACCGATACATGGATTTCCTTTGAACCACATGGATAGATAAAATGGAAACCGATACATGCATTTATAGGTCATTGTATGAGTTATATATATATATATCTCTCAGTTAACAATTATTTATATTAATTGCCTCGCTAATACTCATTTTAATCAATTCCATCATAGCACGAAGTAGAGGAGGAAATGAGGAGATTAAAACTTGAATTGAAGCAAACCATGGAAATGTACAACTCAGCTTGCAAAGAAACAATGACTTCTAACCAGAAGGTAAGTTTAAAACTTGAACCAGTGAATTTAGTATATTCAGAGTATGTACATGTAACCTTACAGTATTAAATACCAATCACATGACTCTTGTGTTCCCAGGCAAGTGAAATTAATCTATGGAAGTCAGCGGAGGCACACAATTTAGAAAAATCCAAGCAAGCCCAAGAAGCTGCTTTAGCCATATTAGAGGTGGAGAAGCAGAAAACCAAGGCTGCCATGGAAGTGGCACAGATGGCGCAACGTCTGGCAGAATTGGAATCCCAGAAACGAAGAGGTGCTGAAATGAAGGCAAAGCATGAGGAAGAAGAGAAAAAGAAAGTTATGGAAGAGTTAGCACGCTTTGACATTCGGTATAGAAAATACACCATAGAAGCAATTGAAATTGCGACAAGTTACTTCTCCATTTCAGCAAAGATTGGTGAAGGAGGATATGGGCCTGTCTATAAAGCTTTGCTTGATCACACAACTGTTGCCATTAAGGTTTTGAGGCCGGATATTTCACAAGGGCAGAAACAATTTCAACAAGAGGTATTCCATATTCACTGCTTATTTTGGCAGATAGTAGATACAAGGAATATTGTTATGATTGATGATCTTTTTTGTATATCTTATTTTGTTACCACCTAAATCTTTCTATCATCACTTTAGTAATAGGAAAATTATCATTCAAAAACATGCCAAAAACACTTGGGAAGTTTTCATGCATCTGGTTCATTGAGACACAAAGAAAGAAATATTATTTTATGTATGCTCCATTGACACTGGGCATATGTAGAAGAAGTGACATACATTACGAGGAAATCTGGCGATCATCCTCTAGATTCTCCCCTTCATTATTTTGCAGGTTACCTTAGGATCCTGGCCTGTGCACAAAGAGTGTCCATTGTTTCTATACCCTGATGACATCACCTATACATCATAACTGCCTAGCACCATCACGAGATACTGCTAACCATTACTCACGCTCTTGCCATTCGTTCTATTCACAGTACTATTGTAGGAACCAAATATTTCGTCCATTGTGGAAAGTGCCAAATGACTTAATTTTGTTCACTACAATCCTCACTAGCCAACCCTTTTTGACCACCATAAGCCCTAACCTTTCCGAGATTGACAGACAAGATAAGTATAAAAGAATGATATAAGAGAACAAAACCAATGCACAATGATTTTTTTACTTATTGGCAGGAGTGTCTATGACCAATGACGTATTCAACGAAACTAAGAAGCCAGTTAAGGTTGCTAGATTGAAAGTGGCTGTCGTACATTAGTCTAACCTTCTCTTTAATTATCTATCTCAATGCAGGTTGAGGTACTAAGTCGCATGAGACATCCAAACATGGTTCTCCTTGTTGGAGCTTGCCCTGAGTACGGATGCCTTGTGTATGAATACATGGAAAATGGCAGCTTAGAAGACCGGCTATTCCGTAGAAACAACACTCCCACAATCTCATGGAGAACCCGTTTCAAAATAGCTTCTGAAACTGCTACTGCCCTTCATTTTTTTCACCAAACAAAACCCAAGCCTCTGGTGCATCGCGACCTCAAACCTGCCAACATTCTCTTAGACCGAAACTATGTGAGCAAGATTAGTGATGTTGGCTTAGCCAGGCTGGTTCCACCATCCGTGGCTGATGGGGTAACTCAATATCACATGACAGCAGCAGCCGGGACATTCTGTTACATTGATCCAGAGTATCAACAAACAGGGATGCTAGGCACAAAATCTGACATATATTCGCTTGGTGTAATCTTATTGCAAATTCTTACAGCAAAACCTGCAATTGGTCTAACATACCACATGGAGAGGGCAATCCAGAAAGGAACATTTTCAGAGATGCTTGATCCAACAGTGACTGATTGGCCTATTGAGGAGGCTTTGTCATTTGCAAAACTAGCTTTACAGTGTTGTGAGCTGAGGAGGAAGGACCGGCCCGACCTTGGTTTGGTCATATTGCCCGAGCTGAATCGACTAAGGGATCTTGGGTAAGAAAATAAAGACACGGGTGGAATAATATATGGAGAAGTCCACCAAATTCAGGTTTTTGACGTAAGTTTATCTTTTACTCAAGTTAGTTTACGTCCTGAAATCCCGGGACTGGAATTGACTTGTAGTGCCTAATTATCTTTGTTCCTTCTAAACTCTTGTTTTTCAGTTTTTCTCCAGAACATTTCAAGACATACTCCCTTATACAGATGTTGTAAATTATCAACTTTTATTTAAGAGTACCTAACTTTCGAAGGAGTGATGGGGAACTATAACTTCAATCACCGTAAACCCAAGTGATGAGGGATAAGGTTTTTTTTCTTTCAACATTGGGAAATGTACACACACATACTCCAAACATGGTCAGGGCTTAGAAGTCCAAACCTATTCACTGCACATAAAAAAAAACACCTTGAACATGTAAATATAAAATCATAAGAACCACAACCACAAATGTAAAAATGGGATTATGAGAACCATATCCATTTCTTTGATGTGGTTAAATTCTTTATATTGATTCCACAATAAGCTACTTGGGTTTTAAGAGGGAAATTCTTTGTCATAGTAAATTGCAATTTACTCGCTCTTAGCCTCCTACCTTAGTGTTCCAACTTCCTTCTGTTTTCTGTCAATTTGCAAACCAACATTGGAAATGCTTGCAATTAGATGCCAGCCAACAAATGATGATTTACGTTTGCATAGTATTCTCTTAATTTATAAATTGCCCTGATCACAATACTAGAAAGCAAGCATGGAAGAGAATATAGGAAATAAAGTAATGGCAAATTGTTGAAAATTGTTACTTTGGAAGATATCTAATTCGGCTCCATAATGTGATTTCGATCTGTTACTGTTGCGGTTCGTATTTTCACCAAGTATAACAGCTTAAACCAGTTTGAAATTATATGAAGCCAGAATATTGGGTGTGAACTTTCCCAACATAGAACTTCTCAGTTTCAAAATTACAATTATTTATTGACGCTATACTTTTGTTTACCATGTGTAAGTAGTGTTGACTATAATTTTAGCCTTTATATGTTTGTGATAGATAAAACAAAGACAATGTAACTTAATCTTTTTGGAATAATTTTTTTCATACATGTGTTCCATATTTTTAACGCAAGATACATCTTGACCACTCACTTTCCTAGACCATTAACCACATAGCAAAGACTCAAGATATAACTCCTTGTATTCCCAAGACAATTAGATACATTTAATAACAAAGTATTATCTAGTATATTATTTTTAACACTCCCCCTTAATGCTTTGTTGTTGTATTCCCAACATGTCTCTTAGAAACTTGAACTTATCTTTAGGAAGTGCTTTGGTAAAAATGTTCGCCACTTGATCTTCGGTCTTGCAATATTTGACTTGAATCTCTTCATCTTCCACGGCTTCTGGAATAAAATGATACTTGATTGCAACGTGCTTTGTTCGGCTATGATAGACGAGATTCTTTGTCATGACAATAGTTGATTTATTATCGCACAAAATTGGAGTTGCTTCATCTTACTTTTCACCAATATCTTCCATGATTCTTCTCAATCAAATTGCTTGAGAGGTAGCCAATGATGCTGAAATATATTCAACTTCAGCTAATGATTGTGCCACACTTTGTTGCTTCTTTGACACCCATGAAATTACACTAGAACCAAGTGAAAATACATAACCCAAAGTGCTTCTTATATCGTCAATGTTTCCGGCCCAATCACTATCACAAAATTCAAGTAACTTGACATCAACTTTCCTTTCAAATATAATCCCAAAATCAAGTGTTCCTTGAATATATCTCAACACTCTCTTTGCTGTCCCATAATGAATTTGGCTTGGTTTGTGCATAAACCGAGATAACAAACTTGTAGTATACATGATGTCCGACCTTGTTGCTGTCAAGTACAAAAGACTTCCAACCAAGCTTCTATAAAAAGATGTTTCAACTTCTTTAGCTCCATTATCTTTTAACAACTTTTCATTCACAACCAAAGGTGTAGTCACTGATTTGAAATTTCTCATTCTAAATTTTTCAATAAGAGTTTTTGCATACTTCCTTTGGCAAATAAAAACTCCATCTTCTTGTTGATAAATTTCAATGCCCAAGAAATAATGTAGAAGTCCCAAGTCACTCATTTCATATCTTTTCATCATCTCACTTTTAAAATCTTCAATCATTAATTGATCATTCCCGATAAAAATCAAATCATCAACATAAAGAGACCCACTGAAAATACCGGTATAACCTTGCATTTTGATGTACAATGTTGGCTCACTTTTACTCCTTTGAAATCCTTTTGCATTGAAATAGAAATCAATCTCACTATACCATGCTCGAGGTGCTTGTTTCAGCCCGTACAATGCCTTTTTTAGCTTGTACACTTTTCCTTCTTCACCGTTAACCGCAAAACCTTGAGGTTGCTCTACATAAACTTTTTCTTTTAACATACCATTCAAGAACACTGATTTTACATCTAATTGATGAAGAAACCAGCTCCTTTGTGAAGCAAGAGCAATAAGAAGTCTTATTGTATCAAGTCGAGCAACCGGAGCAAAAGTCTCTTGGTAATTGACATCGGGTTGTTGTGAATACCCCTTTGCTACAAACCTTGCTTTATTCTTTTGAATTGAACCATCCGGATTAAGCTTCGTTTTGTAAATCCACTTCACCCCAATGACCTCTTTATTCTCTGGTTTTTCCACCAACTCCTAAGTGCTATTTTTCTCAATCACACGAATTTCATATTTCATTGCTTTCTTCCAAGCATCTTCTTTGATTACTTCTTCAAAAATTTCGGGTTCAATCATACAAAAATTACACCTAGCATACACATCACTAAGACTTCTCATTTTCTTGGAGTTTAACTTGGAGATAAAGTGCTTGAACTTAAAGAAGTAGAAGGAGATGAAGGAGAGTTGGGTGTTGGAGACATTTGTGGTGGAACTTCAACTTCTTCATTTTCATTTTCAACCTCAAAGCTTCCATAATTTTCATTTGTTACAATCACTTGATTTTGAACATTCTTTTCTTTCCAATTCCAAGAGTCCTCATTAAAGATAACATCTCTACAAATAATTATTTTGTTTCTCTTCAAACTTAAGACTCTATAACCCTTTGATTTAGAGCTATAACCCACAAAAATACATTTTTCACTACTTTCATCAAACTTGCACCTCATTTCTTTAGGAACATGTGCAAAACAAATGTACCCAAAAACCTTTAAGTGATTCACCGACGGCTTCCTTCCACATCAAGCTTCAATTGGAGTTTGATTTTTCAAAGCTTTTGTTGGACATCTATTCCTCAAGTAAACCGCGGTGTATACCGTTTTAGCCCAAAATGATTTAAGTAAACCCTTCTCATAAACCATCGATTTAGTCATCTCAACAATGGTTCTATTCTTTCTTTCTGCCACTTCATTTTGTTGTGGAGTATACCCAATCGTCAATTGTCTTTTCATACCAATGCCTTCACAAAACTTATTAAATTCATTAAAGTTGTACTCATCACCTCTATCACTTCTTAACAACTTAATGTAGTATCCACTTTGTCTTTTAACAAATTTTTGGAACTTCTTAAATACTTGAAAAACTTCAAATTTTTGTCTCATAAAATAAACCCAAATCATTCGTGAAAAATCATCAACAAAGATTATGAAGTATTTGTTACCTCCATGAAAAAGTGTTCTTGATGGTCCCCATACATCAGTGTGAACAAGCTCCAATGATGATTTGGCTCTCCAAAGTTTTTCTTTTGGAAAAAGATCTCAATGATGCTTTCCAAATGCACATCCTTCACAAACTTCTTTAATTTCTTGTATAAATGGCAGTCTATAAACCATGTTCTTTTGTTGTAGGATCTTCAAACTTTAAAAGTTCAAGTGCCCAGCCCAAATCTTCTATGCCAAGGCCAACAATCATCAACAACTTCCATCTTCAAAGAAACATTTTTTGAATACCAAAAAATGAGAGAAAAATTTCTGTTTTTCTCCATTTCAATTTTCGCTATAAATTGTTTTTTCTCCCCACAATCATAGATCATGCAAGAGTTGTCCTCAAACACTATGGAGTACCCATACTCTACAAGTTGACCAACACTCAACAAATTTTGTTACAAGTCCGGTACTAACAAAATATCTTGGATGTATTTTGTTCCTTTCTTTGTTTCAATAGCAATAGTTCCCTTGCCTTTTGCTTGAACCATGACACCATTTCCCATCCTTACTTGAGAATTAGAAGTGGTGTCCATGTTCACACAAATATTATCATCACCGGTCATATGGTTACTATAACCACTATCAATATACCATACATCATTCATTTGCTCAGACATTGCTTGACAAACATAGAACATGTTTCCACTACTTTCTTGCTCTTCAGAAAAATTAGCTTGTTGATTATTCTTGAACCGAAAATCTTTTCACAAATGACCAAACTTTTTGCAATTAAAACATTTTTGTCAACATGAAACTAACAATCTTTATCAATATGACTTGATCTTTTACAAATTCCACATTTTTGTTGAGTGGATTCTTCATTTGATCTTCTTTCAAAATTTCCTCTTCCTCTTCCTCTTGAATTTTTTCCACTTCCTCTTCCTATTCCAAATCTTGCCCTCTAAAAGATTCATCTTTAGATTGATTGGAACTCGACGATTCATGACTTTTGGAGTTAACATTAAGCTTGGATTGAAAAGCAGTCTCAACAGATTTTTTGGCGTGCTTACTCAACCTTTGCTCAAATGCTTTAATAGAATCCAATAATTCTTGAACACCCAAAGAAAAAATATCTTTGGTTTCTTCAATGACGGAAACAATAGAATCATATTTCTCCAGCAAACTAATCAAAATTTTCTCAACAATTCTTGAGTCCAAAATTTGGTCTTCATATGTTTTCTTTTGATTTACAATTTTCATAAGTATAGAGAAGAAATCATTTAAGGATTCATTCTCTTTTATTCTACTATTCTCAAAATCTCTTCCTAAAGATTGTAGTTTCACGACTCTTAC